GGGACAGCTCCAGACCTGGGCACAGAAGCCGCTCTCCTCCGGACCTGGGCACAGAAGCTGCTCCCCTTCCTAGGGGACAGCTCGGGAACGGCCAGGCTGCCATGTACTGTCTCAGAGCAGAGACCAAATGTCACGTATTCACAGTCCAGGGTCTGTCCCAGCTCTGCCTCCCACTAGCCCGGCAACACCAGGTGACCCCAAGTGACCGAAATCCAGTGATCCTGAAGGTTTTCACGGAGTGAAGCCAGAGTCAGGGCTAAATTACTGCTGGGGCTGCGCGTCGGCCGTGTCCTGGGCTAAGTGTCTCAGCGTCTCTGAGCTTCCTCCAGAAACCCAGGGCCCCCGACCCTCCTAAGGCTGCTTAGCACAGAGGTGAGGTCAGTGATGACGCCTTGTCCGTGGGAGTCCGGACAGCCCACCCACGCACCCTCGTGAAACACACGGTCGCGGAATGGCGTCTGTAGTGAGGATCAGTAACTACAAGCAGTAAGGCTGCTTCGGCCTGTCCCCAGTGACGAGCACACGGTGTCCTGGGCCGAGGCGCAGCGACCCCAGACTCCGCCCTTCCAGGTCCCCCGGGGAACAAGCACTGGAGGACAGCTCCCGACCCCCACTGGCTGGCTCTGGACTTGCGGCTCCCGCACGCCGCACAGTGACCACTGCGAGCCGGCGGACACCCAGGCCTGGCTCCAGTCTGGCTCGATGGCTCGTAGTTGCCGTCGGCGTGGAGAGCCCTGGGGTGCTACCGGGGTAGCATGAAGCATGAGCTGTGCGGGACAGACCCGCAGCTGCGGCGGCTACTGTCCACCTGTCCACCCTGTCCACCTAGAAAGTCGTCATCACTGACCTGAGCTCCGTGCTAAGGGGCTCCCTGTGCCCCTTCCGGTGGGTGTCTCAGAGGCAGAGGACATGCAGCGCAGGCGAGGCCGTGTGCAGGCGCTGACCCGGGGCCGGGGAGCGAGCACTGGCCGCCTCGGCCCTGCCTGGGCCTACTTCTGTGCAACCTGCCAGAGCGTCAGGACCCTGAGAAAAGGCCTCTCCCTTTTGAAAGCGCCGAAGTGGACAGTGTATGATG